CCCAAGATGCCCCCAGGAAGCCCCCAAGAGGTCCCAAGACTCCCCCAAGAGGCCCCAAGAGGCACCCAAGAAGCCCAAAAGAGGCTCCAAGAGGCCCCAAGACGGCACCCAGAAGGCTTCAAAACTTCAAGAAGCAGTCCAGCATGCTCCGAGGAGGCCTCAAGAAGCTAGCTAGAACTTGAGCGCGCGCGAAGCGCGCGCGATGGTTCTAGTGATGCATACTGTTGATCCCTCTTCTGGTGCACCGTTTGTTTTTTCAATTAGAGTGCTCCTTCCGGGGCTCGCACCCAGTTTTTTTTAATGGAAAGCGAGAGGTCACCAAGCTGGGCCCTTGGCTTCCGAACTACAACAACAACGGCTCCCGCCTGATACTTCCTTGCAGTTTCTTCCAAAATCGCCCTCTCGCGCAGGACTTCCTCACAATTCACTCTCGCGTGGGACTTCTTCGCAATCTGTTCACCTCGACACTCAGAAATCACGCTCTCGCTGTGGAATTATTGACAGTTTATGCTGGAATCGAGCTATCGCTCGAGATTTCCTTGCGATTCATGCAGGACGCATGCTTCAGCAACCCGCCTGCTCGACCTGCCCGCCTGTGCTCGCCTTCGCGACCTGTCCGTCAAGGTCTAACCGCCCGTTCTGCCCGTCCGGTTCTGCCATGTGTTTTCCGCTCCTAGCGTGCTACTCTTTTTCGTGCTCCCTCCTCCTCCCTCCCCCTTGTCCCTTCCTTCCATCCGTCCTCTCTTCTCCTGCCTGGGGCTGCACGAAATACACGTTACAGGTAAGACAATTATTTTCCCCCAGCTGGGTACCCAACATTCGGGTTCCAGCACCTCCTCCTCTGCCTCCTACTCCTCCTGCTACTCCTACTCCTAGTATCACTACTAGTATTTTGGTTTACCAGTACTACTACTACTACCACCACTACTACTACCACTACCACTACCACTACCACTACTACTACTACTACTACTACTACTACTACTACTACTACTACTACTACTACTACTACTACTACTACCACTACTACTACTACGACTACTACTACTACTACGACTACTACGACTACTACGACTACTACGACTACTACGACTACTACGACTACTACGACTACTACTACTACTACTACTACTACTACTACTACTACTACTACTACTACAACTTTTACTACTACTACTACTAGTACTACTACTACTACTACTACTACTACTACTATTACTACTACAACTACAACTACAACTACAACTACAACTACAACTACAACTACAACTACAACTACAACTACAACTACAACTACAACTACAACTACAACTACAACTACAACTACAACTACAACTACAATTACTACTACTGCTACTACTACTACTACTACTACTACTACTACCACTACTAGTACTCCTACTACGACTACTACCACTACTATTTCTATTACTACTACTACTTCTTACTACCAAGGCTAGTGCTACGACGACAACGACGACCATCACTTCTACCACTTCTTCTACTACTACTACTATTATTGCTACCACTACTACTACTACTACTACTACTACTACTACTACTACTACTACTACTACTACTACTACTACTACTACCACTACAATTACCACCAGTAGTACTACCACTACTACCACTACTACCACTACTACTACCACTACTACTACCACTACTACTACTACCACTACTTATACTACTACTACTACGGCTCCTACGGGTACTACGGGTACTACGACTAGTGCGACTCCTACGACTGCTTCGACTACTACGACTACCACTACGACAACTACTGCTATTATTCTTACTACTACTACTACCACTACTACTACGACGATGGCGGCTAGTATGAGTATTAGACGACGACTAATACTGCTATTATTATTTTCCCTACTATTAGTATCACTATGACTACAGCTACCACTACTACCACTACTACCTCGACTACCACTACGACAACTACTACTACGACGAGAACTACAAGTATGATTCATTTCGCTACGACTACCACTACTACCACTATTAACTTTAATATTGCCATTATTTCTACTACTACTCCTTCTACTACTTTTGCTACGACGACGATCAGTCGTATTATTACTAGTACTACTACCATTATTTCTAGTACTGTTTTTATTATTATTATTAGTAGTACTACTGCGATCAATACTACCACTACTACTACTACCACTACTACTACTACTACTACCACCACTACTACTACTACTACTACTACTACTACTACTACTACTACTACTACAACTATTCCTACTACTACTACTACTACTACCACGAAAACCACGACTACTACTACTAGTACTAGTATTACTACTACTACTACTACTACTGCTACTACTACTACTACCACTGCTACTACTACTACTACTACTACTACTACTACGACTACGACTACTATTACTACTATTACTACTAGTACGACTATTACTACTACTACTGCTGCTACTACTACTACTACTACTGCTTCTACTGCTGCTACTACTACTGCTACTAGAGCTACTGCTACTGTTGCTACTACTACTACTACTACCACTACTGCTACTACTACTACTACTACTACTACTACTACTGCTACTACTACTACTACTACTACTACTACTACTACTACTACTACTACTACTACTACTACTACTACTACTACTACTACTACTACTACTACTACTACTACTACTACTACTACTACTACTACTACTACTACTACTACTACTACTACTACTACTACTACTACTACTACTACTACTGCTACTACTACTACTACTACTACTACTATTACTACTATTACTACTGCTGCTGTTGCGATTATTAGTATTATTAGTATTATTATTATTAGTTGCATGTATTACTTCTAAGACTATGATGTTGCTGTTGTTGCTATTATTCTTTGCTGCTGTTGCTGTTAATTACTTCCCTGGGGGCAGCTTCTCATCCAGGGTCCGTTTCTGACGGTCGGGGGGCTCTTAACCGGCCCCCTGGCGGCTAAAGCCGACGGAATATTGAGGGCGCCGAAACAAACACATCGGCGATGACTGCTGCATCCATTCTAGACGCTTCGCGTCTCCCCACCAGCCCATCCAGAAATGATGTCCAGGCGAGTTGCGGTGATCAGGGAAGTGCGGGAGCAAAGAGGGGGACGGCCGAACCGTGCGAGGGGGGAGGGGGAGAAGGAGGAGGCTGGATGCATGGATGAGGGAGTGGGGAGAAGGAAGATGAAGAGGATGATGATGATGATGATGATGATGATGATGATGATGATGATGATGATGATGATGATGATGATGATGATGATGATGATGATGATGATGATGATGATGATGATGATGATGATGAGGAGAGGAGGAGGAGGAGGAGGAGGAGGAGGAGGAGGAGGAGGAGGAGGAGGAGGAGGAGGAGGAGGTGGAGGAGGAGGAGGAGGAGGAGGAGGAGGAGGAGGAGGAGGAGGAGGAGGAGGAGGAGTTAGGAGGAGGAAGGAGGAGCAGGAGGAGGAGTGTAAGTAAAAGGGCCAGAGGTCTCTTGGATGCCTCTCGGAGCCTCTTGGGATATCTCTTGGGCGCTTCTTGGTGCCCTGTTGGGACGTCTTGGGGGTCTCTTGGCGGTCCTGGGGGGCTCTTGGGAGTCTTGGGTGCCTCGGGGGGGCCTCTTGGGGCCGTCCTCTTGGGGGCATCTTGGGGGCCTCTTGGGGGCCTCTTGGGGGCCTCTTGGGGCCATCAAGGTGCCATCTTGGGGCCTCTTGGGGCCTCCTGGGCGCTTCTTGGGGCCATCTTGGAGGACATCGATCAAAGAAGAGGGGAGCTTCAATTAGTCTCCCCCCCCAAGAGGCAAAAATGGGGCTCAAACCCAAAACCAATGATTTTGGCTCTCGCCGAGGCCGTTTTGGACGCTCCGGCACCGCCCGTTCAGCTCCAGGGGAAGGGGTAGGGGGATGGGTCAAGACCCCCTCCCCGCCCGCAAGCCGTCTCGCTCACTCCCACCCGCCCTCTCAATACATACGTAGCACCCGAGTCTGACCCGAGCCTCAGCATATTCAACAGTCGTCTTTGGATGGGCAGCTACTGGGGGCCAATCCGCCGCCGCCGCCGCCGCCTCCGCCGCCGCCGCCGCCGCCGCCGCCTCCTCCGCCGCCGCCGCCGCCGCCGCCGCCGCTGCCGCCGCCGCCGCCGCCGCCGCCGCCGCCGCCGCCGCCCGCCGCCGCCGCCGCCGCCGCCGCCGCCGCCGCCCCCCGCTGCCAAACCGCCGCCGCCGCCGCAGCCGCTGCCGCCACCGCCGCCGCCGCCGCCGCCGCAGCCGCCGCCGCCGCCGCCGCCGCCCCCGCCGCCCCCGCCGCCGCCGCAGCCGCTGCATCGGGTTGGCTGCGCATGTTCCGAATTTGGAGGCAGAGTGTGTTTTTTTTTTTTTTTTTTTTTACAAGGGATGGTGGGGGGTGTTGTCATGGACTCGGGTTGGCCCCCAGTCGCCTGGGGGAGGGGGTGTTTAATAATAGGGAACAGTGATAAACCCCTCCCCGAAGAGGAAGAAGGTTGGAAGAGGGGCCTCCCTAGACCACCTACGCCCAGATGGCTGGTGGGATTTTCGAAGGCAGTGCAGGGCCTGGTTGCCCTTCGAACTTGCAGCGAGCTTGGCAGCCCCAGAGGGCCGAGGGAGGCGGGCGTGCCAACCTGGCAGGGCTCAAGCTGAACGGTGTTTGGCGACTCCGTGGCCCGTTTTTTGTTTTTGTTTTGTTTTTTTTTGGGGGGGGGGGGCTTTTTTTGTGTGTGTGTGTGTGTGTGTGTGTGTGTGTGTGTGTGTGTGTGTGTGTGTGTGTGTGTGTGTTTGTTTTGTGTAAATATATGTGCGTTTTTTTTGTTTTTGTTTATTTGTTGTTTATTTCCGCAGCAAAGGCGGAACAAAGACAAACCGAGGGAAATCTAAAACACAACGAAAACGAGAAACGCTGTTTGGGTCGAGCCCTGCAGCCTGGCAGTGTCCCCCTCCGCCCTGAGGGGCCGCGAGAGGCTCTTACGACACGGGCCACAAGGAGGGCCTGCAGACCTTTGGGGAGAAGGAGACTGGCGAGGTGCGCGACGAGGCGCTCCTCCGCCCCTCCAGCCCTCCAGTGGATGGGGTCGGAGGATCGCGCCACATCGCCGATGCATCGCCGATGCGGCTCGATGTGGAGCCCGATTTTCTCCGCGCTGGCGTCGCCGATGCACCGCCGACGTCGCCGATGCATCGTCGATGCATCGCCGATGCACCGCCGACGTCGCCGATGCATCGTCGATGCATCGCCGATGCACCGCCGACCCACCACCGATGCGGCGCGATCCTCCGCCCCCCGACCCCATCTGGGAGGCCTTTAATCTTGAAAGAGCAAAACCCGACGCGAGGACACGAGCCTTCGGAGGCCCGTGCGGAGTTCCCTTGTGCCGGCGGCGTGCCCTCTCCCCGCGGCGCGCTGTCCCACGAAATCCGTGCACACCTCCGAGAGTTATTCCGAGTTGCATAACAAAAGGCGGGTGGTCTGAATTTTTTTTTGGTCTGATATGAGCTGTCTTGGAGGGTTCTGGTGGGGTCTGGGTAAAAGGGGCCGCCCTTGCATGGCTGGTCTGGGGGGGGGTCTTTTAACACCTCGTCTGGGAAGGTTGCGACCCCCTCCCTTTTAGGATGAGGAGGAGGAAGAGGATAAGTAGGAGGAGGAGGAGGAGGAAGAGAAATAATATGACAAATACTAAACACACGAACAAGACGAGTGTCCATAAGAGCACAAAATACTGTGAACAACAATTTTACAAACAAGAATTCCATTAAGGCAATTCATAAGCGTATTATTCAAAATCAAAATACGACTATTACTTATATCACTGTCAATCATACTAAGAAGAAGACTAATACGAATGATCATGAACATCGTCAGACGAAAACTAATGTACGTAATTACACTAGTACTACATCTAAGAAGACTGAGAAGACGAATAACAGTAGTAATACTATCACAAATAACAATCATGCTAATCTACATACTAGTAATTTAACAAGAGGAGGAGGAGGAGCAGGAGGATGAGGAGCAGCAGCAGCAGCAGGAGGGGGGATGGTGGCGTCACCCGCGGGAGTTCGAGGATAACCGCGCCCCTCGCGGGCTCTCAGCCAGAGAGCCCGTGCCGCTCTTCGGCCCGACCGCGCGGAAGGGGGCGCGGGGAGGACGGTCGCCGCCTCGCGAGAGTCGTCGAGTGCTGCGGCGTGGGCCTCTCCGCCTCTGCCCTGCGGCGAGGCCGAGTACGGCGTGCTGGCGCTGATGGAGGCGGCGGGCGGCTCCCTCTCGCGAGTAGGATCTCGGGTCGACGTCATCGTAATTCTCACATGTGTCTCCATACTTTTCGCCATCGTTGTTATACACATACATACATGTGTAAAAGTATATACATATGCATGCATATTAACACATTTATATATATATGTATATATGTATATATGTATATATATATATATGTGTACACGTACGCATGCATGTATACATGCACATCGTCACATACATGGTGGATGTTATGTAATATGTGTGTATATATATATATATACATGGCTGCTCCCCAAAAGATCATACATCTCGTCGTGAACCGCTTCGGATTTTCGCTTCCCTTTTTCTTGTTCTTGTTCCGATATTTCTTAATCCGTTCCCTCCTCCTCGCTTCTCTCCTCCTCATCTCTCGCCCTTCTCCCTCCTCTCCTCCTCCTCCTCCTCCTCCTCCTCCTCCTCCTCCTCCTCATCCGCCTCATCTGCCTCCTCCTCCCCCTCCTCCTCCTTCTCTCTCTTCCTCCTGCCGCTTCATCACTATGCATCCTTCTCCTTCTCCCCATCTCCTCATCCTTTTCATCTTCCTCATCCTCCGCATCCCCGTTTTATGGTGTCCCTGTGTATCCCCAGGAGGGTGATGATGAGGACGAGGAGGAGGAGATGCGTGAGGAGGAGGAGCTAGATCAGATGATTGCGACCCGATAGCGATGATGATGATACTAATGATGCTGATGATGATGATGCTGATGCTGATGCTCATGATGATGCTGATGATGACGACTATGATGAGGATGTTACTTATGCTGATGATGACGATGATGAGGACGATCATGATGATGGTGATGACGATGATGCTGATGCTGATGCTGATGCTGCTGATGACTCTGATGTTGCTGATGATGACGACGACGATGACAATGGTGATGACGATGACGATGATGATGAGGGTGATGCTGCTGATGACGATGATGATGCGGACGATGCTGTTGCGGCTTCTGATGCTGGTGCTGATGATGATGGTGCTGCTGCTGTTGCTGCTGATGCTGACGATGCTGCTGATGCCGATAACGATGCTGATGATCATGATGTTGATAATGCTGATTCAGCTGATGAACATGCTGATGCTGCTGCTGCTGCTGCTGCTGCTGATGCTGCTGTTGATAATGCTGATGATGGCGATGATGATGATGCTGCTGATGATGATGCTGATGATGCTGATGAGGCTGATGATGCTGATGGCGATGATGATGCTGACGATGATGATGATGCTGATGCTGCTGATGATGTTGATGCTGATGGTGATGCTGCTGCTGCTGCTGCTGCTGATGATGATGATGATGATGATGATGATGATGATGATGATGATGATGATGAGGCAGATGTTGATGAAGCCGATGGTGATGATGCTGTTGCTGAGGATGATGATGCTGATGCTGCTGATGATGGCGATGCTGATGATGATGATGCTGATGACGCTGCTGCTGCTTCTGTTTCTGCTGCTGATGAGGCGGACGATGATGACGATGATGCAGATAATGCTGCTGATGATGATGCTGATGATGATGATGCTGATGATGCTGGTGATGGTGGTGATGATGATGATGATGACGATACTGATAATGCTGCTGATGATGATGATGCTGATGATGCTGATGAGGTTGTTGTTCCTGCTAATGATGACGATGATGATGAGGATGATGAGGCGGATGATGGTGAGACTTGTCCTAGGAACGTGTAGGAGATGAAGCACAGAGGTCCGTGTACGTCTCGCTCAAGCCTTTTTTCTCTTCAGGGAGCACCTGAAACGCATGCGCCCCACAGCCTTCCAGCCGCCATCGTGGTTGCTGGTCTGTACCTGGTGTGCTCTGGACGCGTGGCAGCCTGGGCTGCTGCGCACGGGCGGCAGAGGCGGCCCACCCGACGACTCGGATCGTCGGGCTTCCCTCGCCGCCCAGCAGGCCGCGGAACGCCAGGCTGAGCTCGCCGCGGCGCACGCGGGCAACCTCACCGAGTCGCGGGCTACTCACGGCTGGGGCGGCTCCAGGTCGCACTAGCCAACCTGTCGTCGGAGCTGGTCGAGCTCCGCGACCTCAGGAGCGAGCCGCCCACGGAGCCCAGCGCGCTCCTCTGGCACGCCATCGGGGTAGTGCTGACTGCGGCCATGACTCAGTGTGCTACTTGTTTCGCGGCCCTCCGACATCGTCATGGCCCTGCTGCCCGCGGACTTGAGGCTCCTATCGAGCGACGGGAGCGTCGCCGCGGCGGAGGCCTTCGTTCGTGAGTTGGTGCCAGTAAGGGTGGTTTCTTTCTACTACGACGACGACCCGAACATATGGCACGAACGGCTACTCTTATGGCCATCAGTGGGGGCTTTCCCCAATGCGTGCTGGACGTGCCTCACGCCAGACGGCGACGTGTACCCCAAGGACATGGCATCGGGTCCAAATGGAGACGGACCGAGCCGTGTGTCCTTGACGGTGGGGGTAACACCAGCGGCTCTTCGGCCTCCTGGACGTGTCTATAGGTTTCGCAGCCTCCCCGCCGAGGATGATATGATTCAATTATTTCGGGATGCTCGTGCTGACCGTCTTCATGCGCGGCGGCGACCATTTTCCACCAGCATGACGGCCAGTTTTTCCGACGTGCCAGGGTTTGCCCGCCGCGTGTCGCAGAAGAGCCCGTCCGTGCTCGCGCCCCCTGTCGCGCCCAGCGCGCAGCTCGATGGCGAGGGGGGGCGCTCGCCGACGGCGATGTGGGGGTCGCAGAGACCCCGAGGGGCGGCCCTGGCCCGACGGTGCTCAATCATGAGGGCGCCGCCCCTCCAGGGTCCGCCTGGTTCTAGACGAGGTCATCCCGAAGGCCGGCGACGTAGTCTGGGGTGAGAGCGGGCTCTGCCGCACAGCGGGCGGCTTTGTCGTGCCGATTGAGCTCCACCCCGTCCCGTTGCCCGCCGATGTGCTGGACAAGCTGGGCGACGACGACGCTCGCATTTTCGGGCCTCCCCAGCGGGCGCGGGAGGGGCGTAGGCGCCGCGACTTCCGCGATGCCGTCGCGGCCATGCGACGGGAGCAGCGCGACGACTTCCCGCTCGTGGGCGAGCGCAGTGTCGAGTGGCTGTGCGAATGCATTGTCGACAACGGTGGCACGCCTGACGGCCGCCGCGCCAAGTGGATGATGGAAAGCGGCTGCGCCAAGGACTCAGCGGCCGCCCACCTCCACGACCTCCTTGGCTTCTCGATCGAGCTCGGGGTCACCTGCGATCAGGTGGTTTGCCTGCATGGAGGTGGTGTCGAGGGCCTACCAGCTAATCGAGGAGACCATGGGGGGCATCAAGATTGAGGACGTCGAGCACTACATCGGCCGCCAGAAGCAGAGCGCCCGCCGTGGCGTTGCCATGGCCCCAGGCGGTTCCAAGTGCGCCGCCGACCAGCTGGCCAAGGAGACGGATATCCAGAAGCAGCGGCGCAAGGCGCGCGAGGAGAAGACCGCCCAGTCGGGCAGGAAGAATCAGGGGTGACCTGGGGGCGGGGGTCGGGGAGTGGCTCGTCCCGACCGCCGCGATTCCAGAGCCAGTTTTGCGGGCGTGCTGATGTCCAACCTCCAGGCGATGGCATGCTGCCGTTCGCGGTGCCCGCGTCGCCGATAGCTCCGCCTCCCCCGCCTGAACTATCTCGTGCAGTTCGGGCTCGCTTGTCTCGCACCCAGTTGATCTAGGAGCGTGCTCGGGGCGCCGTGGAGTGCCTCAACTTGCCTGGGGGCTACGCCGCGCCGCGGGTCATGCCAGAGCGCCGCTCGCAGCTGGCTGGCTTGTCACTTCGACGAGTTCGAGGGCTGTGTCGCAAGATGGCCGCCCCTCCGAGCACGTCGGCCCAGGAAGCCTGCTCAGAGCTTTTGGGCCGCCCGTGTCTCCACTGCGACACGACTAATGACTTGCCGCTGAGGCCCTGCGCTCCGCACCTCGTGAGCTGGCCCGAGGTGGGAAACGAGCCTCAGTGGCTCGCGGATCGGCTTTGCGCTGGCGACCGATGCTCTCTCTCTTGGACCTCGACCATGCTCTGCTGCTGCCGCCGCCGAGCTTCGACGAGGCCGTGGTGACAGAGGGGGGGCCCGCGTTGTGCGTGGACCCTGTGCTGGAGCGGAACAGGCCGCTCTTCTCTTAATTTGCCAAGTCTGGCATCTCGCGGGGCGTCTTCACCTTGGGCAAAGAACGGGATGAGGACGTCTCCGCCTTCTTCGTGGCTAAGAGGGACGAGCGGATCAGGATGGTGCTGGACGGCAGGCGTAGCAGCCAACGGTTTCAGCCCCCCCCCCCCCCCCCCCCCCCCTTCCGTCAACCTGTTCTCCGCCGCGGGGTTCGCGGACCTTGAGGTGCCGAAAGACGCGCCCCTCTACTTTGCGGGGGTTGGCGTCCAGAACGCGTTCTACCAACATAAGTTGCCAGCCTACCTGCGGTCGTACTTCTGCTTGCCGAAGGTCACCGCGGGCGAACTTGGCGTCGGCGGGCTCGACGGGCGGCGTGTCCCGCCGTGGGCCTGCCCCTTCCCACAACTTGCCGTCGTTCCCATGGGGTGGAGCTGGGTACTCTTCTTTGTGCAGAAGGCCCACGAGCGGACGTTGGACCAGTCCGTCGCCCTGAGGCCAGAGCTGCGGGCGGTCGACTTCGCGCCGACCCCGTGCCCGCTCGAGGAGCCCATCCACTCGCTGTGCGTGGACGACGTCTTCGTGGTTGGCACTGGCCGCGCGGCCGTGACCGAGGTCAGACGCGCGGCCTCCAAGGCCCTGGAGGGCACAGGTCTGTCCGTCCATGAGGAGACCGACGCGGCCGAGAGCATGATGATGCTTGGCGGGCAGCTCGAGGGGCGCCCCGCCCGCGCCACCTTGGCGCCGCGGCGTTTCTGGAAGCTCCACATGGGGCTTGGGTGCCTGGTTCAGCGCTGGCCCCGCGTCACCAGCCGCGACATCGAGCACATCATTGGCCGCTGCACCGTCGCCGCGCTGTGTAGGCGCGA